TGTATGCCTGTAATCCCAGTGGCTCAGGAAGCTGAGGCAGGAGGACCATGAGTTCAAAGCCAACCTCAGCATCTTAGCAAGGCCCTAAGCAACTCAGCAAGAGTTGCTTAAAGAGTCTTAAAAGAGTCTCTCTAAATAAAATATAAAAAGGTCTAGGGACAAGTCACAACTCCCAGCCTGCCTCAGCTTCAATAGAAACAGAAGAAAATACTGCCTGAGGGTGAGAACAAGGGGACATGGAGACAAAAAGAGGACAGGGGACTTCTGGCAATGCAATGACTTTGGCCTCCTCATCACATCCTACAAGAAAGCTACTTCATTCTCACCATTTCAGAGCACAGTTTACTCTGTCACCTTTTATTCTAAACCACTTAAATTTCATGCCAGCATTAGTGATGAATGTTATCACACACTAAACAAACCAAAGCATACAAACACCTCTGCTCCTCATAAATTCTTTATCTCTCTGCCAGGACATCCTGGAAGAATGAATTCAGCAATTCAGAGTTATTCTAGAAAAGCTAAGATGATATATATTTTGTTCCCAATAAATGCTGTCAGGACTCTCATTCAGTAAGGTAGCTGTTGGTTTCTTGCCAGTGCTGAGAAAGCTGACATCAAAATATCACCAACAATCTTCACCTCCCCCATGCTGGGATACTCCCAAAAGACTGTCAAAGGAAAGACTTGAATACTTCCACATTATCTTTTAAGGACTCCTGCTAAAGCAGTTAAATGTACACCAGAACCAAGAAAACTACTGTTGAAGGGCTGGGGTGGGCCAGGGTGGGAGTGGGGGGGGTTGGTGATCATGTCTAGATAAGAGCTATATATTTCTAGCGAGTATAGACCTGAACACACAGTAGGATGCACTGCAAATTTGTCTGATTCAAATTCAACTGACATTTACTGAGTGCCAGGCATATATTTAAATTCCTTTGAGTCCAAGTGTTATCACACAGCTCCTAAGTGGCAGAGTGAAATTCAAATTTTGCCTCTGCCCTGCTTTTTCTACTTCATCACAATGGCCCCCAGGGAATTCAGAATTTGGAATTCAATCTACCCAACCAGGGAAGCAAAGGTAAACTTGGATGCCAGGGCAACACACATGCTCCTAAGGTACTAGCCAGGCAGTGAGTTGGTAAGCAACATGTGCCTATTTTATTTACAGGAAAAGAATAAGAAATGAAATTATTTTAGTGTCTTTATGTGTTGTCATGTACAATCAAATACAGTAAAAGGAAAAGGGATTGGTTTAAATTTTGGTATTCTTTCTTCTTCCCATTTAATGCCACTCTATAATTATTTCTGAAGCTACACAATGTATTTTAGGATACAATTTATCTGAGAAGTGGAATATGAAACGCCACTGGACAGCAGCAAACACGACAGAAGGCTTCTTGGTTCCTACTGAGACCAATTATCAGTGCAGCATATTTTCTTCTCAGTGTGTGGGGAGTCACACATGTTCATTTTCAGAAACAAAGTGGAGACTGTGCTTTCATATCTAGAGACTATGCATGCTTTTCTTAAGGACAAGGAAAGGCACATATGAAAAGGGCTTTAAACAGATTTTGCTACCACTAAAAACAATTGGAAACAGAAACCTTTTCACTAAGGCAACAATAACAAATGCAAACATCATCTGTGTTAAAGCCTCATCCCAATTTTCTATACAGAATTTATCCAGGTCACCACGTAGAATAACAACTGCCAAGGTATGAAAACCAGAAATAAAAGCTGTGCTGACTGAAAGGAAACTACAATAAAGAAAGATGCTGGGGCTAAGGGTGTAGTTCAGAGGTAGAGCATGTGTCTAGCATGCACTAAGCCCTGAGTTCCATTCTCAGCATAAAAAAAAAAAAAAGGAAAAGGAAAAGAAAGATGCTAAGACAACAGTTACACTGCCTTTATAATGCCAGGATTCATGGGACTAAGAGCAACTTTCCTTTTGTACAAAACATGAAGTAAGCAGATTGTTTCTGGAGATTGGAAAAGATGAAGAGTGCTTTGAAGTGCAACAAGTCCTTTAATTAAATCTATGCCTTAATATTAAAATCCTCTGACCAACAAATCTGCCAATCTGATATTGCTTATCAGATTGGCAAAATTTGAAAAGAATGTAAATAACCAATGTGGCAAGGCAGCATGAAAACTGGCATACTCATATATTTTGGGTAAAAATATACATTTTTTAAATATTTTTTAGTTTTAAGTGGACACAAGATCTTTATTTTACATTTATGTGGTGGCGTGATCGAACTCAGCACCTCAATCATGCAAGGTGAGCACTCTACCACTGAGCCACAACCCCAGCCCCAAGAATATACATTTTTTCAGTATTCAAAAGCAACTTAAAGTCTTATCAAAATAGTTTTTTTCCATTTGTAAGAACAAATTTCAAAAATATATCAAATAGAGAATATTATGATAAACCTAATGCACTTGCCATTCTACTTCAATAATTATCAACTCATAGCCCATCTTTTTTTTAATTTATATATGGCAGCGGAATGCATTACAATTCTTATTACACATATAGAGCACAATTTTCCATATCTCTGGTTGTATACATAGTATATTCACACCAATTTGTGTCTTCATACATGTACTTTTGGATAATAATGATCATCACATTCCACCATCATTAATAACCCCATGCTCCCTCCCTTCCCCTCCAATCCCTCTCCCCTATCTAGAGTTCGTCTATTCCTCCCATGCCCCCGATCCCTATCCCACTATGAATCAGCCTCCTTATATCAAAGAAAACATTCAGCATTTGGTTTTTTGAGATTGGCTAACTTCACTTAGCATTTCTTCTCTGACCCATCCATTTACCTGCAAATGCCACGATTTTATTCTCTTTTATGGCTGAGTAATATTACATTGTATATATATGCCACATTTTTTTTATCCATTCATCTATTGAAGGGCATCTAGGTTGGCTCCACAGTTTAGTTATTGTGAATTGTTCTGCTATAAACATTCATGTGGCTGTGTCCCTGTAGTATTCTGTTTTTAAGTCCTTTGGGTATAGACCAAGGAGAGTGATAGCTGGGTCATATGGTGGTTCCATTCCCAATTTTCTAAGAAATCTCCATCCTGCTTTCCATATTGGCTGCACCAATTTGCAGTTCTACCAGCAATGTATGAGTGTACATTTTCCCCCACATCCTCACCAACACTTATTGTTATTTGGATGAATAGTTGCCATTCTGACTGGAGTGAGATGAAATCTTAGAGTGGTTTTGATTTGCATTTATCTAATTGCTAGAGATGATGAACATTTTTTCATGCATTTGTTGACTGACTGTACATCATCTTCTGAGAAGTTTCATAGCCCATCTTACATCTAACTAATCTCCTACACTTTCTTCCTCCCTAGATTATTTTGAAGCAAACCTAGATGTTATACATTTTCATTTGTAAATAGTTTAATATATATCTACAAAATTATTTTATATTTCATATATTATATCTAAAAAAATTGTCTTAGTATTATCAAATATCCAGTTAGTAATACTATTTCCCCAATTGTCTCATAAATATTTTTACCTTCAGTTTGTTCAAATCAGTTTCCAAACAAGGACCATATATTGTGTCTAACTAATAATGTTCCTGAAGTCTCTTAATCTGTTAGCTCTCTTACCTCCTCTTTTTGCTTGTGTTTTATTTGTAGGGGAAAAAAGTCAAGGACTAAGGGTGTAGCTTAGAGACAGAGCACTTCTTTAACATATATTAAGCACTGGGTTCCATCCACAGCAAAAGAACAAATGAATAAATAAGCCATACCATTTATTCTAGAGTTTCCCACAGGTTAGATTTTGCTAATTATAATCTTGTGTGTCTTTTTAACTTCATTAGTGAACCATGCTTCCTATAATCTGGCAGCTGAATCTAGAGACTCAATCAGATTCAGGTTTGATTTTTGGGGGATGAATACTTCACACATGGTATACAGTAATTTCAGAAGTACCCAACACAGGGAGGCATGTAATGAATGGTTTTCTCTCTTCTAGCATTACTAAGAAGGGTCAGAGGTTTAAGTTGCTATTATTCTGATCTATTATAAAATTCCTCACTAAAACCAACTTTTCTTGGTGGTTTTAATATGCTGTTGATAATCATTGCCTAGATTCATATGTCATTAGGGAATAAAAATGGTGCTATATTTATTAGCTGAAATGCTTCTATAAAGAAATTTCCACCATGGGCTGGGGTTGTGGCTTAGCAGTAGAGCGCTTGCTTAGCACGTGTAAGGCCCTGGATTCGATCCTCAGCTCCACATAAAAATAAATAAAGGTATTGTGTCCAACTACAACTAAAAAATAAATATTAAGAAGAAAAAAAATATTTCCACCAGTAAAACTACACATCATGTAAAACCACAAGAATTGGATCCTAATTAGAATAAGTTATACTCCATGTACATAAAATATGTCAAAATATACTCTACTGTCATGTATATCTGAAAAGAACAAATAAAAGAGAAAGAGAAAGAGGCGGGGGAGGGAGGAAGGGAGGAAGGGAAGAAGGAAGAAAGGAAGGAAGGAACAAAGGAATGAAGGAATGAAGGAACGAAGGAAGGAAGGTCCTTCATATGAAGTAACTGGTTACTTGAATACTTCCAGAGAGAAAGTACTTCATTCCCTTCATTTACTAGTTTTCAGGATAATGTGGTGATCCCTAGCATCATGAAAAAAGTGACCAATGAGTTATTTCTTTCAATATCAAAATGAATATGCAGACTATAAGAATATTTAAGTAATTTTAATCAATTATAGATATTAGCCTTTCTGACAGGTCAATTGTCCTATTTTGGCCCCTGCAAATTACATCTTGAGTTGCTTCCATAGGACACCAGAAGTTTTTAACAACTCCTTTGCATTCTGAGAAGATGAGATGCTCCAAATTCATCTTGTATATTCCTTCCCCTAGTTTTGAAATCTGACATTTCTTCAAGAAGCTCTAATTCCTTTTACTGGAGATCTGTACTTAGAGACCACATTGAGGGGTGTTAGGGATGCTCGGTAATACGAGACTGATCCTTTGCGTCTCTACACCTCTGCTGTGACCAGAACTACAGAACATTTTTTGCAGTGCTGGGGATCAAATCCAGGTCTCATACATGCAATGCATATGCTTTCCCACTGAGCTACACCCCAGTCCTGATAACATGTTTTTGTTTTTTTGTTTTTGTTTTTTTGGAAGAGAAAATATATCTTGATTTCGTATTGATATTCCAATTCAAATTTGGGATTCTAGGCCTTTATTTGATTTTTATTCCTGTATTTTTATGCACTTTCAAACAAAACCTTGGTTCTTATTTCTTTTTATTTTCAATGCTGAGGATCCAAACCAGAGTCCTGTATATGCTAAGCAAGCACTCTATCACTGAGCTACACCCCCTAGCCCAAACTTGGTTCTTAAATAACTTAAAATGTGAATATCTTTTGTCTCTACCATTCCTCCTTGGGAAACTTAGCCAAAGGAAATAATCTAATATGACATCCATGATAGTGTTCTTTACAGTATTAAAAAAGAAGAGAAAATCAAGAAGAATTTCAGTTTTTCAGAAGCCAGAATGAGGAAGGCTATCACCAAATTGAAATATAATTTAAGCTAATATTTCTTCAGTATTTGAAAATAGAACAAGTACAAAAACATTTCCAAAAAAAAAGAAAGAGACATTAAAAACTCATCATTAGCAGGGGGCGAGGTGGTGCACATCCGTAATCCCAGTTTTTGGAAAAGCTGAGGCAGGAAGTATGCAAGTTGAAATCCAACTTTGGCAATTTAGTGAGACCCTGTCTAAAAATAAAAAGGGTAGGGGATATAGCTCAATGGCAATGCACTTGCCCAGCATGTGTTAGACTCTGGGTTCAATCCCTAGTATGAAAAGAAAAAAGTTTCATGATTATTCTTTGGAGCATGAACCAATGTACTGCTTATATCCTTTTTTGGTTTTTAGAGATGGGGGTTTCACTATGTTGCCCAGACTGATCTCAAACTATTGGGCTCAAGTGATTCTGCCTCTGCCTCTCTAGTATATTTTTTTTAAAAAACTTTTCTGACAAATCACTTTTTATTACCAGCCATTCTAATATTTACTGACTGGAGTGTGTTAGTATTATGTTATGTTTTGCTTTGTTTCCATGAAAAGAAGCTCTCAGAGAATGTTCTTAGTATTTAAGAAAAAAAAAATATTCAGAAATAGCACCAGGCAGAGGATTAGAGGAAAATTCCAGGGAACTGACAGTCACAGTATTATCCACAAACAACAAAAAGGTAAGTCATTACCTGCTGAGCTGTAGTATCCTGTTGGACATAAGCTACCTGGCCTGGGTCTGTAAACAGAGTCTAGACCAAAAAAAAAAGAAAAAAAAATTATCAATAGATCTTTAGACATTTGCCTACACAGGAAAAATTATACTACTGCTAAGCACCAATGCTTAGGAGAGTTATCTACCATCATAGCTGATAATTCTTCGTTAAAAAAGATATAGATAGCAACCTTACATTTAGCTAAAGAAAGCTTTTCATTCAGATGGCTCCAATGAGATGGTATGTCTAATGATCTCACATGGCTAACATGTTTCACTATTTTACTTTTAACCAAAGTCTATCTTGAGGTTGAATGTCAAACCTAATTAAAATGGTATGTCATGAAAATATACAAGACATGCTATGAACAAGGTTATATATATTCACATAACATCATTCACTGGAACAGATTTGTGATTCAAAGAAAATGGAAGGAGATATATAGACATAGAGAAGATTATCATAAAAACAGGGTTTTCAATGCTATCAAATACAAACTCATGTTTATTATCAGAAGAGAAGTAGAAGTAATATAAATTGAACATAATGTCCCATAGGTTTGGAAAAAATCAGTAAAGTCACAATACAAGTTAAGAAAAAGTGATCACAATTAGTGGAGTCATACTGCAGCAAAGTAAGAAGAGAAAGAAAATCTTCAAGACTATATCATAGCCAAGGCACCATGGTTAACATCCTGACCCCAAAAAATATGCTCTCTTCTAAAGCTTTTAAAAGATTTTAATTTGCCCAAGATTTTAACAAACTTATAGGAATAAGAACTATGATTAAATCTTTTTTTAATTTTTTTTTAGTTATAGATGGACACAATACCTTTATTTATGTATTTTTATGTGGTGCTAAAAATCAAACTAAGTGCTTCACATGTGCTAGGCAAGCACTCTACCACTGAGCCACAACTCCAGCATCCTATGGTTAAATTTTAATTCCAGAGAAATGTAAAGAACAGTTTCAGGCAGTATCAGATTTCTCATATTTGATTTTTTTAAATTATCAAAATTTAGATGTTTAGGGGATAGGGTTGTGGCTTAGTGGTAGAGTGCTTGCCTAGCACGTGCAAGGCCCTGAGTTCAATCCTCAGCACAGCATAAAAATAAATAAATAAAATAAAGGTATCGTGTCCAACTACAACTAAAAAAATAAATATTTTTTTAAAACTTTAGATGTTTAGTAACATCATAATAAACTATAGTTGGGCACAGGACATTCTTTTCATAAATTATGTGGTCTTATTTTAATAGAGTTAGAGGACTAAACTTAAGCAGAGGAATTCCAAAAGTACCATCAAAGTATTTGGCAATTTCATCATTATATAGATTAGAAAAGTATTAACTAGGTGAGCCTCATATCTTCTTGCAAGTGATTCGAAGTCTCTTGATTAAATATTGTATGAGGGGCAAATTTTATTATCAGGATCCTACCACAAAGTATATAATTTGTTTTTTAAAAACATGTGTTTGTCAACTGGAAATAGGCTCATGGTAAAGCATGTGCTTAGCAAGCACAAGGCCCTAGGTTCAACATCAACACATAAAAACATGTTTAAAGGTACTTTACACATTGTAAAGTATGAACAATAGAAAATAACATTTGTAAACTAGGGAATATTTGTGTCGTATCTTTGGGAAGTTCAAGCCACTGGGAAAAAAATTAAAGTAGCTACAATTGAACAGCTTTTACCAGTAAACACAATGGCTTCTGTTGTAGACTAAGAATCAGTAGGTTATTAATAAAGGGTATTTAATAAGCTATTAGAACTTTTTGCTTATACATTTAACTGAAATAAACCATACATTTTCACTGAACCATCTATGATTAAGCTATACAGAACTAAATACCTGGTTACTGATACTCAAAACAAGTAACAAATTCACAATCTAGTCATTAGAGAGAAGAACTGATATAAGGCTAGTGCTCTAAATACTTATTAGCCTTAATTTAAATTAAATGAACGATCTCTTCTCTGATGAGTTGGTTATGAGCTCCTTGAGAACACAAATCTTATCTGAACGTTACCTGCTTCACCAATACCTAGCACAATGACTGGCATAGAATAAATATAAGTAATTGCTGAATTAATTAATTAATTAACAAATTAAAAAACACTAATTCTTCACATGCCTGTGCAGCTTCCACAGGATGGATGTATACCAGTGTGTGCTCGGGACCATCCACTGAAGTGTAGGAGGCACCATCTGCTGTGTACACCACCTGCTGGGGTGGACGGACCTGGTCATCAGTGTAGACAATCTGAGCCACAGTTCCAGCATCTGGAACAAAGTGCACCTGGTGCAAAAAAAACAGACAAGTATGTAGCAATTATTCTTGTAAAAAGAAATCAATCTCACAAAGGTACATAGCCAACCAAGCACATTTGCACTCCTAAAATATCCCCAATGAAAGAAGAATGAGAATTTAGGCAGTTCCATCTAAGAGACAAGGAGACAGAGTGTAAGAACTGTGTCATAGATTTATCACTTAATGTGAGAGAATGACTTAAATTCCTCTGCCTCAAATGTCCAATGCAGATAAATCCTTTGGGGAGTCATAGGTGGTAGGGGGTTAATTGATCCTGGAAAAGTGACTGCAGATTCCTCTTTGACAACACCAAAAAAATATAAAACACAAATTATTCTGCAATGTGAACAAATATGTCAAGACCTCAAAAGCCAATTGCTCTCAGCATATCACAAAAAAAAATCTATTTTATAACAGTTCCTTTAAGTTAGTTATTAAAATAAGGCCATATTAGGAGCTGGAGTTGTGACTCAGTGGTACAGCACTCACCTAGCACATGCGAGGCACTGGGTTCGATCCTTAGCATTACATAAAAGATAAATAAGTAAAATAAAGGTATAATGTCCAATTACAACTAAAAAAATTTTTTTTTAAATAAGTGCATATTCTTTCCTATAAGTTCTTTCACACTAAAAGAATATACTGGAGGCATATCAGTCAGCAGAATCAATAAATGAATAACAAAACTCTTCTTTGCCAGCGAGGTAAACACTCAGAAAATCCTTATTAAAAAACTTTTAAGGGATTCTAGACAAATATTTAGTTGTCACCAGGGTAAACAATTTTCTATCTTCCAAAACCTAAAGAACTAAAAGCAAAAACTTGAGTTTTATAAAATACTTTCTGAATGGTCAGCATGTAGGACTGCATTTATGAGGGCTACAGCTTGGAATGTGGCCTAATGCCCAAGATTGAAGGTCTAGAAACAGATGCTTAAAGAACACATTTAGGAGAGAGATCATTTATGTACTGATGTGGAAATCATGCTTTCAGGTTAGGACCCTTACCGTTCCACTGCCTTGGCAGTGGACCTAACATTTTTGTCAGTTTTCTCCAGTGGGGAAATGGATTCCAAAGCGGATATAAACTAACTTAATCCCCAGAAAGAAACCCAGAAGCCAAATGTAAACTAAACATCACAAGAATACAGCAAACTTCCACTTCTATACTAAATGATTAGTCTGTCTTCTATGTAAATTTGATTTATCCATGAAGATAAAGTTTATACAGATTTGTTCATTAACAAAGCTTTGAACTAGGTCCAGTGCTTAAAGAAGGAAAAAACATTTCCCAAAAAGATGAGCCATCTAAGATATAAACTTTTCTGCTTAGTCTTCCTCACTCAGATTCTGCCAATCAGAATTTGAAGAATTAAAAAAAAAAAAACCACCAGAATCAATTTCCTAGCCAAGAGCATGAATGACTAGGAAAAAAAAAATATATAAGGGGCCAGGTGAGGTGGCCCTCAGCTTGGAAGGCTGAGGCAGGAGAATCATGAGTTCAAAGCCAGCCTCAGCAACTTATTGAGGCCCTAAGCAACTCAGTAAGCCCCTATCTCTAAATAAAATAGAAAAAAGGGCTGGGGATGTGGCTCAGTAGTGGAGTGCCCCTGAGTTCAATCCCCAGTACAAAAAAAAAAAAAAGAGAGAGAGAGACAGAGAGAGAATGCAATGGAGGATTCCTGGCCTTAGCTATCTGTTATTTGGTAATCCAGAGATAGGGATTCTGGTTATATACCACATCACAACCATATTCACCTTTGTTTTGCTTTTTGATAAGCAAAATATATGAGAACACTATAAAATTGTCTCTTTTTTCTTTTTTTTTTTTTTTGTACTGGTGTTTGAACCCAGGGTGCTTTACCCTGAGCTATGAGCTACACCCCCAGTCTTTTTTATTTTTCATTTTGAAACAGGTTCTTGCTAAGTTGCTGATGCTGGGCTTGAACTTGTGACCTTCCTGCCTCAGCCTCCCAAGTCTTAGGATTGCAGGCATGTGCCACTGCACCCAGCTACAACTGCTTTTTTTTAAGTTTTCAGACTGAGACTTTTAATTCACAGCAGATGATCAGTTTTACATATTATAATATAAATGATATTGCTTAAATTAAATAAGACTTACCTATTTGAATGTTTCAATGTTGACTTCCTGATTTTTATGATAGTACTGTGGTTATGTGATTGAATAAAAATTTGAACAAAAACTTCACATTTATCCTAATGTATAAAAATCAAGTTTTATACTTTGGTCACAAATAAAACATGGCTCCCTAGTACTGCTGACCCATTCCAAATTCAAATCCACACCAAAAAAAAAAAAAAAAATGCAGAGATGTGCCTCTACCAAGAAGTCAAAAGAACATGCAGGTGAAGCCAGGTGGTTGTGGCACGAGCCTATAGTCCCAGATACTCAGGAGGCTAAGGCACACAGATTGCTTGAGCTTAGGAGTTTGAGACCAGCTTCAGCAACACATGAGTCCCCTTTGCAAAGAAAAAGAAAATGCAGCAGGTTCCATCAGCAAGTCAAAAGGTAGAGATCAGCCAGGCAGCAACTCAGGAAATAGCTGAGGCAGGAGAGCAAGCTGGAGGCCAGCCTCAGGCAATCTCACAAGACCCTGTCTCAAAATAAAATAAAAGTCTGGGGATTGAGGCTGGAGTTGTGGTTCAATAGTAGAGCACTTGCCTAGCATGTGTGAGGTACTGGGTTCAATTCTCAGCACCACATATAAATAAATGAATAAAATAAAGGTCCATCAACATCTAAAAATATTTTTTTTAAAACATTTAAAAAGGCTGGGGATATAGCTCAGTGGTAAAGTGCCCCTGGGATAAAGAAAGAAAGAGAGAGGGGGGGGGGGGGGTAGAGGAGAGGGAGGGAGAGAGAGAGAGAGAGAGAGAGAGAGAGAGAAAGCTAACAGAAAAGAAAAAGCCAGAGATTATCAATGACAACAGCATTTGAATAAATGACTAACCAAAATTTGTGACTCATAATGGGACAATTTACATTTAGAAGTTTACATTTTAAATTTAAAAGAAAAGGCCACTCACTTTATAAACATACATTGTATCTTATAACTCACATAGAATCAAAACCTTATACTGAATGGCATAATAGAAACAACAGTTTGAGGCTTTCAACACCAAAAATGAAAAATAAAGTAGGGTCTAAAAACTGAAACTAAGTTTCAAATAAGGCAGAGAAGCCTGGGGCAGGGAACCAAGACTGTGGGGGAGTGGATATGGGTTTTTCTAAATCACAGTGAAACATGGCAATGGAGCATTCAGAGTGCTATGCACAAGTTCTTCCAGTCAACTCCCTCCCAACTACTCATTACTATAAAGTAGCTATTATTTCTTTAGCTATCAGCAAACTGAACCCAACAAAAACACTACTGTCATTAGCCAGCTGGAAGAGAACACCCTTCACCTGTGTGGCATTCTGTTCATGCTCTGCAGACGTCGGCCACACGTGTGAGCTTTCATCTTTGGAATCCATACTTTCCTGCTGGACAGCTCCAAGTCTGGGCCACCTACAGCAGCACAGGGCAGAGGACAATCATCTGTCCAGCATCTGTACACTCAGGAAGGACAGAAAGGTCTCTCTGCAGTGTGTCTGAGAAAAGACAATGTATTTTAATTAATTACTTTTTATCAAAGGAGGGGGAGAAAAAGCTTTGTTAAAAGGCAACACACCAGACTCGGGTTGTAGCTCAGTAGTAGAGCGCTTGCCTAGCATGTATGAGGCACTGGGTTCGAGTCTCAACACCAAATATAAATAAAGATAATTAAATAAAGGTCCATCAACATCTTTAAAAAATTTTTTTTAAAAAAGGCAACACATCTATAATCCCAGTGGCTCGTGAGTCTGAGACAGGGTGATTGCGAGTGCAAAGCCAGCCTCAGCAACTTCGAGGTACTAAGCAATTCAGTGAGACCCTCTCTCAAAACAAACTACAAAATAGTGGATGAAGCTCAGTGGTCAAGTGGCCCTAAGTTCTATTTCCCCATACCCCACCAAAAAAAAAAAAAAAAAAAAAGACAATACACCTGAGCAAATGCAGAAATCATTTAGAATAATAATACCATGTATCGTGTGTTTGGTGTGTTCTAGGCACTTGTCAGGAAGAGTGTAAATGTATATTCACTGTGTATCTACTGTAACCATCATTAAAAATGCTGAAGGTAATTTTAGTTATCTTGAGAACAGTTTTCCAGACATTAAACACAGGCAAATTATAAATTCATAACCTAATCTGATCACTGTGTAGCCCAAGCTTTTTTCTGGTAGACACTACCTGCCTATACCCTCTTTCTCCTTAATATGAATAAAATAATAATAGCAGACATAAAACAAGGGGGAAAATGACAGATATAGAGAACTAGATTTTCTGGGTCACAATTTGTGAGTGAAAATATAAATTTTGTTTCACATTTGGTCAGTACAGGAGTGATCAATGACAAAATCAAGTTTTACTAAGCATCAATATGCATAAAGTCCACATCTTAAAGTCTTATTTCTTTCCAAATAGACTTTTAAAGCAATAATCTTCCTATTTAACAATAAGTCATTGACATTTTAGATATCACATGAGAAATGCTGTGTTAACATGGCAGCAGCCAACCTGATAGTTCTTCCCAATCTCCCAGTAAAGTAGCAGACGTAGGAAAAGGTAAGATGATCAGAACACCAACAAAGTCAGATAATAAAGTTTATGAGCCAACAGCCAGTCAGAATGTTCTCCATTATTAATTGCACATTTTTAGACCACACATCCTCTAATCTCTGAACCAAAATATATCCCAAAAAAGAAAGATACTAGAACACCCTATGTCTGTGCCTAGCTCTGGAATACAGGAACTGCTGTGTCCAAATTGCATGGGAACCATCTTCTGAGTCACTCAGGAGCCTGTTCCTGCCATCCTCACCCCTCCTACACCATCCCCCACACTCACTCACCTGGCATACACCTTACTCTTCCTTTCCCCATTCAAAGAGTACTTAACTCCCATGTCCACCAAAAATTGAATGTATAAACAAAGGGGCATGAAAGAACTTTTTGGAGAAATGGGAATATCTTTTATCTTGAATCTGGATTGGAGTGATGGTTACATAGAGAATATATGTATCAAAAGTCATCAATTAGGGCTGTGGCTGTAGCTCAGTATAGAGCGCTTGCCTAGCATGTGTGAGGCACTAAGTTCAATCCTCAGCACCACATAAAAATAAATAAATAAAATAGAGGTATTGTGTCCATCTATAACTTAAAAAAAAAAAAATTTAAATCAACTAGGCCAGGCATGATGGGGTATGTCTGTAATCACAGCAGTTCAGGAAGCTGAGGTCAAGGTCACCTTCAGCAATTTAGCAATACTATAAGCAACTGACAAGACCCTGTCTTTAAAACAATATAAAAATAGGCTGGGGAAATGGCTCAGTGGTTAAGTTCCTATGGGTTCAATCCCCCCCACACACCAAAAAAAAAAAAGTTATCAACTAGCCAGGTTTAGTAGTGAACATCTATAATCTGAGCAACTTATAAACTTGAGGTAGGATTACAAATTTAAGGCCAGTCTGGGCAACTTAGTGAGATTCTGTCTCAAAATAAAAATAAAAAAGATTGGGGATGTAGCTCAGTTTCAGACTGTTAGCGTAGCATATATGAGGCCCTGGTTTTTTGTTGTTTTGTTTGTTTTGTGGTGCTTCGGATTGAACTTGAGACAACGGTTTTAATCCCCAGTACTGAGAGAAAAGAAAGAAAAAAGTCATCAACCTCTTCAATCAAAATATGTGAATTTTATCATATGTAAATTATACTCTTATAAAGTTGATTTTTAGAAAAATGCCTCCCTTATATAGTGGCACTATTTAAAATCTATGTAAAAAGATCTTCAGGATGAATTGCACATGGTATGTAATTAGACCTCGACAAAGTTGTTATTTAAAAAAACAAAAATATTAAGAAACCTAGGGAAAAAAATGCCACCAGTAATATAAATATCTATAAAAAGAGCCAATCATGGTGTTACACACCTGAAATCCCAGCTACTCGAGAAGCTGAGGCAGGAGGATCCCAAGTTCAAGGGTGAGATGTAGCTCAGTGATGGGGTGTCTCCAAGTGCAAAAGCCTGGATACAATCCCTAGTACCACAAAAGAAAAAGAAAGTTTTTATTTTGAAACAATTTCAGACAGAAAAGTTACAAAACTAGTACAAAGAATTATTGTATTTTTCAAATACTAACATTTTACCATGTTTGCTTTATTATTATTCTTTCTCTTTTTTTCCCCTACCTGAACCATTTGAGAGTAAATTGCAGACCCAATGCCCTTGTACCCCTAAATTCTTAAGTGCCTCACTCCTAAAAACAAAAACATTTTCTTATAATTCCAGTAGTATCATCAAAATCCAGAAATTAACATTAAATTTGATCAGCTCAATTATCTAATTTATAGACCTTATTCAAATATAGTCAACTGTATAATTAATGTCCTTTATAGCCAAAGAAACATTTTTCCTTCTGGCCCCAATCCAATCTGGCATCCTACACAGTGTATTCAATTGTCATGTTCCTTCAGTCTCCCTCAATCCAATAGTCTTCTGCTCTCTTAAGTCATTTATGACCTTGACATTTTGAAATGCACAGGCCATTTATCTTTCAGAATGTACTTCATTTTCAGTTTGTCTGATGTTTCTTCATGGTTACATTTAGGATGCATATTTTTAGCAGGAATAACACAAAAGAGTTGAGTCCTTCCAATAAGGGAATTTGCGATTTTCTCTTTTTTTTCAACTTGGTTCCTTGACTGCACAAATACTGGTGCACACTAAGCTAGGCACAAAGCAACTGTGAGAATCAGGCAGGCATAGCCTATGACCTCACAAAATACATAGCCCAGATAGAGTATCTTACTGCCTTCATTTTTCCAATCACAAAGAGAAACATGCTCTGGGGGCTCCAGTATATCTCAGTAGTAGAGCTCATGTTTTAAGTGCAGGAGGTCCTGGGTTCAATTCCCAACACCAAAAGAAAGAAACATAACTACTGATTCCTTATAAAGTCCCTTTTCTTTTATACCTTGTTCATTCCATATAACATCGTGCTTTTTATATCACTGCACATCTGTATATATTTTCCTCATTATTTGCTATAGCTGCACAATTTTCATTGTATGAATATATCATGATTTTTTTAACCAATTTTGTATTGAAAAACATTTAGGTTCTTTCTAATCTGTTGCTATTACCTGCAATACCATGATGAATAACTTTCAATATACATTGTTTTACCTGTGTTGCACTGTATATGTTAGTATACTGTGTCCTTTTGGAAACTTTTTTCTTTAGGGGTGGGGGTATTGGGGATCTACCACAGAGCTACATCCCCAAATACTTTTATTTTTTGAGACAAGGTCTTACTAAGTTGCTTAGGGGCCTCTCAATATTGTTAAGGCTGGCTTTGAACTTATGATCCTCCTGTCTCAGCCTCCTGAGTTGCTGGGATTACAGCTATGTACCACCATGCTCAGCTCCTTTTGGAATCTCTAAGGGAAGATACTGAAGCAGTTAAAGTGGTTGTATGAAAATTTAAGTCATTATTAGTTTCCAAATACCTACACTGGCACTATTCTTTGAATAGTGCTTGAGACCACCTGAGACACAGAACAAGTGCACTGATGCATGTAGGGGCAAGAGACAGAGTGGGGAAGGACAGCAGCTCTGGATCTGGATTTGGGTAGCTATTCTGAGGCTTAACTGACCTTGGTTGGGGTACAGCACAGAAGTCTTCTATATTTCTCTTCCTTCTCTGTAAAATAAGGATCATAAGATTATTGAGAGAATGACACAAAATAATGAACACAAAGTGCATAACACAATGCTTGCTACATAGTAATCAGTTTTTGAAAGTTATACAATCATGTTGCATTTTCTTATCTACTTGTCTGCCTCCTCTATATTCCTTAAGGTCAAGGAGTTATGTTTTGTTAACTCCTGGCTTGTGATAGACCTAGATGATTTTGTTGAGTGATTTAAAGATATCATAATGTGCAGTGGGAACACAGGAAAGGATATCTACTCCAAATAGGGGTGATCAGAGATGACTTCTTGGAATAGGTGAGTAGGAGGAAAAGAGCAGGAACACAAAGGATAGGACAACTATTCCAGACTGAAGGATATCTTCTAATCTTACCAGTATAAGGAAATAATACATGACATAAAATACTGGCAAACTAGGCAAAGATTTTGAAGGGAGTGGTAGGGAATAACTACTTAGCAGATAGGATCAAACAAAAAAAAAGTGGGGGGGAGGGACAAATAATATATTACCAAGGAAAACATACCAATAAAATTTAATAATGTAAATTACTGCCCATAATGGTCCCTCCCAATAAATTTTAAATACTGCTAGCAAATAAAGCCCAATGTGATTGATATAAAACACACATTTGGTCTTTGTCTCCTTTACCTGATGTACAAGTCCTAAAATTCTTGGATCTTCAAAGGGATAAATATCTTTGACATGACATGATCAATAGCTTCAGATGAAAACTGGTCACCAGAAAGACCAAGGCAGGATTAGAGGGTTAGGACTTTTAGCCTGGACCCCCAATCTGGGGTTAGGAATGGAGCAAAGGGGAGGTCTGGAGGGGAGGGGGGGCTGAAAAAGTTAACCTGATCACTAAAGGCCAGTGATTCAATCAAGCATGCTATGCAGTGACCCTGGTTGGAGTAGAAGCCTCCCAAAAAACCCTAAAGGATAGAGTTTTGGAAAATTTCAGATAGCTAAGATCATGGAGGTTCCTGGAAGGTAGAACACCCAGAAAGTGTCCGTCTCCCCTACTTGCCCTATGCATCTTTTCATTTGGTATTCATTAATATCCTTTGTGATGTGACAGTAAATGCAACTAAAGGTTTCCTTGAGTTCTATGAACCACTCTAATAAATTAATTGAATCTGAGAAGGGGGATGGGAACCCAGATTTATACAGGTCAGTCAGAAGCACATGGAAAACAACCTGGTGCCTTTGATTGGCATCTGAAGGGGGGGTAGTCTTGGGGGCTGAGTCTTAAACCTGGAAGACATGAGCTATCTCCAGACAAATAGGGTCACAGCTGAAATGGATTAGAGAATACCCCACTGGTGCAGAATTGATTGCTTGCTTGATAGAAGATTGGGAGCCCCTACACAAGTGGCCAGAGAAGTTTTCTATGCTGATTGTTCAGTGAGAGTATAGGAGGAAAGTTGTTTTTCTTTTTTATTTTCCCCAGATGGTGAAAACACTTTAATTAAAAAACTGTCTGGGGTGTCACTCAGTGGTAGAATGTTTGCCTAACATGCATGATGCCCTGGGTTCCAACACCAGCATACAATAAAAAAGTGTTTGGAATCCAATGTAGTAACACCAGATATCCAGTTAGTAGTTCTTGTTCTTTAAGATATGGCTATAAGACACATGGAGTTTCTATAACTACTAAACTACTTGAAACACCAGTATAATGTTGTGCCATTATGTATTATTTAATACATTTTTCAGAAAACTGAACTCTAGGCATGACTCCACTAACCAAGAAAATCACCTTAAATCCTCTGGACATTTGCAAAACAAGAGCATAAAATGGTTTCTAAAGTCTACTCTAGGGTCTGGGGATGTAGCTCAATGGTAGAGCACTTGCCTAGCATTTACAAGTTCCTGAATTCAATGCCCAGTATTGCAAAAAACAAAAACCAGTTTATCAGAGGGCTGGGGTTGTGGCTCAGTGGTAGAGCACTTGCCTAGGATGTGTGAGGCACTAGGTTCAATTCTCAGCACCACATAAAAATAAATAAATAAAGGTTCATCCACAACTAAAAATAAATAAATAAATAAATATTTTAAATTTTTAAAAAACAGTTTATCACATCTCACATTGGTCAAATCTCTGAAACTCAACATCATCATATGTAAAATGGAGATAATAATTCCTAAAGTAATTCTAGGCACAGGTCTAGCACATCATAGATTCTCAAATATATCAACTTTCAAAATTTGTAGACAAAGTATACAGTGCTTCTGTATTTTCAAAACATATTCTTTTAAAAACTAACAATTCTTAGTCCATCCCTATATAAGAACTTCTTTTGTAATGAGTCTGTATATAAGACTGTAAGGGTCCGGCGGAGCGTTGGAGAAAGAGACCACAAGAGACATGCTGGGGCTCTGTGCCCACTCAAGAAAGGAGAGCAGCCCAGAGCCCAGAGCAGAGGTCAAGCAGAGCTTAAGTACACTTTTTGGAGAGGGCGGGGGGCTTTGCATACATCAGAACAAATCATCATGAGGTGCGGGAAAATTGAACAACAACTCTGAGATATGATTAGTACATTCATTGGCGGGAACAGTCTGGGAAGGGGTGATGGGTCACTCCTAAGTGGGGTACACATTTAAACTGATTGGTTTTGGGACCTGGATGCTTACGTGCTGAGCTACTTGGAGCCCTTAGCTATTAAACAACCAGGGAATCAAAGGAAATATTTACTGGGCAGTTCCAGCATTGTCCTAACAGCTACAGAGATTACAGGTTCCGGGGGTAGCAGAGGAATTTTAACAATACCTAATCTTTTACACTTTAACTCAAGCTTTGCAGCTTAGAATCAGCTTATAAATTTTACCTTTACAAGACTTGTCGTGTTTATTTTCCTTTTTTTATTTATTTTTAATATTATTATTTTTTCAGAGCTGGGTATTGATCCCAGGGCCTCAGGCATACAAAGAAAGTGCTCTACCACTGAACCCATATTTATTTTATTTTTAGCTGCACAATTTATAGAGCTCATTGATGATTTATAGGAAACACAGGAAGAACCCCAGGAGCCATGTTAGCGCTGTCCAGCAGGTAGGTGCTGATGGGCATGAACTTCCTTCTACTCCTCCACTTTATCTCCTACAGATCTGAAAGAACAGGAGAAGCACACCTACACCTTGTCTAAAAGGAGGCATCTTTTTCTCTCCTTTCCCCATTGTCCAAAAAGAGAGACTTCAACTAGATGTGGTAGCACATGCTTTTAGTCCCCGGGGGTTAAAGAGGCTGAGGCAGGAGGATCACAAGTTCAAAGTCAGTCTCAAAAACTTAACAAGACCCTAAGCAACTTAGTAAGACCCTATCTCAAAATTAAAAATAAAAGGATTGGAAATGTCGCTCAATGGTTAGGCACCGCTGAGTTCAAACCCTAGTACAAAAAGAGAGAGCAAGAAAGAGTAAATGGCTTCATTCCTAGGAAAAAGACAAGCTTCAAGCTTGCATTTCTACCTCCTAATGATCAACTTTACCCAACAATATTTATTAAGTACTTTGTATGTGCCAATCATTGTTCTCAGTCTGTAAAAAAAAAAAAAAAAAAAAAAAAA